AGCGACAAATTGCCATCACTATTACTGTTTCAGAAGGCTAGTCAACTCACAGCTTACAGATCGAGCAACAAATTGCCATCACTATTACTGTTTAAGAGGTCTAGTCAACTCACAGCTTACAGATCGAGCAACAAATTGCCATCACTATTACTGTTTAAGAGGTCTAGTCAACTCACAGCTTACAGATCGAGCGACAAATTGCCATCACTATTACTGTTTCAGAAGGCTAGTCAACTCACAGCTTACAGATCGAGCAACAAATTGCCATCACTATTACTGTTTAAGAGGTCTAGTCAACTCACAGCTTACAGATCGAGCGACAAATTGCCATCACTATTACTGTTTCAGAAGGCTAGTCAACTCACAGCTTACAGATCGAGCAACAAATTGCCACCACTATTACTGTTTCAGAAGGCTAATCCAGTCAGAGCTTTATAAAAATAGGAAAAGAAATAAGCTATTAATTAATCAAGTTCTAAACTTTAAATTCATACATCTTTAAAGTGAGTTGTAAATTATTTTTTGAATTTTGGCAGGCACAGACGCTAGGTTAGCAAACATACCAAAAAACACTATATTTTATTTTATTCGAGACAAATACACAGCATGGACTTATTATCACCTTAAATATGTGTCATTGGATTATGAAGTCCACAACAATACGAATTTGAGGTAAAATTGTYGAAGAAATTCAAATTCTTTCACTATCAAATATGATCAAAATACATGCATATGTTGGCTAGATAAACACGAACGTATGAAGCCAAAATTGGGCTAAAAACCAAGTTTAAAGTGATAAATGCCTKACTGTTACGTTATTTAGACTAATAAGTAAAGAAAACACAGTTACTTACCATATAAAACCAAGTTTTTCGGTCATATTCCTTCAACTTCGTCCGCTACACTCAACGGTCACCTCAAACCATGTGCTCCAACGAACTCTACCCATCATGCAATACGGCCTGTATTACACAGCAACCCCATCGAATTTAAATGTATGTAATACAATTTATTGCTGTTTTTAAAGAAAACTAATGAATATTACCCAAATAAATCGGTATATGATAATTCTTAACTAATAAATTATTAATCTGAAATACATTACTACACATAGGCTTGTCTATATTTTTCCAAATCACGAAAAATATGCGCTCGTAAACCTAAAATCATTCTTGCTCTATTTAAGATCCTCTCGGATCCTTCGAGCAATTTTTTTTAAAAAGTGGTGTTTGTTAAAAACTTTATTACGCATTAAGAAAAGTTTTCTATCAAACATTGAATTCACTTCAAATTCACATGTATTCACATAAGTGTAAATGTTATATTCACATCTATATTTGCACTTCACGAATATGATGCGAATATTATATTTGCATCAGTTTTGCATCATATTTGCAACATGGTGCAAATGTCATATTTTCATCGCAATGTGAATATGATGCGAAGATAGATCACCAAATTCACACCACATTTGCACTTAGTGTGAATCCGTTTTTTCGTCCAGTGTCAATTAATCAAATATGGGCAATTGGCTGTATTTTAACTAACTTTAGAGGCCCACTTATTAAAGATAACAGTGACTAGAGGTTGTGGTACAAAGTTTAGATATAGTACATGTAAGTATAATGTTAAAAAATATCCGCCTTATATAGTTAAAGGTAGAAATTTCACTGAACTTGATTAATGTTATTTCTAAATAAAATATTCAAAGTAGAATGTGTCCAGTTTGTCTTTGATTTCATTCCACTTCTCCTGATCAAAGTGTATTGTTACTACAGTGTTGTCATCCTTACACCAAACAAAAAAGTCACACCAGGACAGACCAGTAAYKGCCATCTGCATTTGAACCTGCATGTAATAGTTGTGATTTTCTTTGAGATGGAAGGTAGATTCATTGCTATTCTTCACCAAATATGGGACTTCAAGTACTGTGCTTACAACAGGGCATTTTATCTCCACTAATCCAAAAGGAGGTGTTCTGTTTGGATCAAAAACCTTTCTATCTGGAGAGGCAGCTAACCAAGGGCACCAAGGACTTATAATGATCCCACAGGGAAGTACATTGATGCCATTTTCAAATTTCTATGGTTTAATAATGACATGAAATACGATGACAACAAAAGTTTACTATTTGATATGTGTGCAAAGGTATATAAAAGTTTGACAATATACCTCTGAATAGGCTTTAGCTGCTATTGGTTCAGAGTTAATACCATGAAGCATAGCTTGTGTGGTGACATGACGGCCATGTTTAAATCTCTGAACAAGTGTTTCAAAATCTAGAGAAATATCCAATGAGTATAAATACAACAAAAGCTACATGTACATCATATTTATTCATGAATTATACATCATACTTCTCTGTCTCTTTGCTATTTCTCCAGCCTTGGATGCTGTCAGCCTGTCTACTCTTAGCTTGTGCCATTTGGGGTCTGACGATTGTAGCCTTGTGCTTTCTTCAAGCTCAATGGCCATTTCTTTGTTTACTTCAATGCCGTGAAGTGTTACCCATTGTTGTTGACGAAGAGTGTAATTGTAATTTGTAATCATAACATTTTTCAYAGGAAGATTCGGAAAGTCTAAGACATTGTACAAGTTGATAATATAATCAGAGTGTAGTTTTTGCTGGTAACTCAGTAGACTTCCTTTGGGGTAGTCACCATACTTAGTTTTAACCATAGATTGTTGTTCTAGGTCAACTACCGTGTGTATCAGAGAAGTTGGGGCTGTTGTTAGCATGTTTCATGAATTCAGCCAATGGGGGTAGTTCAGTTTTAATGGGATTATACAAGGTAGATTTAATGGGTTTTGCTTCTTGCAATGGGGTKAATCTACTATAGCCTCTAGCAGAAAGATTTGATACTTCTGTGCCCTTTATCTTGGGCMCTCTAGGGATATGCCAAGTTTGTGGYATTGAYGTTTTTGCTATATCAMTTGGAATAGACTTGATCTGCAAAGAGAAATTTGCACAACTATTCTATCTAYACTGTACTGTTCTGGCAYAGTTATCTTCTACTCAAAATATTAATACCTCTTTCATTTTATAATCTGCTAACTGGAACAGTACTCCAATTATGTGGCCACAAGCTCCTGCAAGCCCAATACTACAGCTACAGACTGCCTCAAGAACTTCTGGCTGACTAGGGGACATTGTAATCTGCATTGTATAACTTGATATTATCCTGCTAAAAATGATAGTTTTAACACTTTCTGAGCAAAATCACTTACTTTTATGGAGTGTGGAGTCTCATTTTTACGTTGTGAGTGATAACACCTACAGCTCTCGACAAAATGTTTGTGAACATCCCCACTCCCCTGTTACAAAGTTGAGATTCTCAAAAAGAAGCYSTGGYTGACAMGATGAGAACCAACTTTGAAACAGGGGTGGGGGGATAATATGGCAGTTAGATGTTCGAATATTTTTGTCGAGAGCTGTAGCTTGATTCCAATTATATCGCTACCTGGCAATACTATCACTCAAGAAATGTTAGAAAATTGGTACCTAACTGGAATTTTAATATGTATCATAAATATATAACGTACATTTAACATCATGAATGAACTTTTCACTGTAATACTTTATTCCTTTGGATAGCTCTTTACTTCCGCTGCTTTTCTCCCATTTTTTTCTGTATTGTTCCACAAATGTAAACGAAAAATCCGGAAATAAACTCAGATCTCGCGACTCGACCCGTACATCCGCCATCTTGAATGTTCGAGCCCATCGTCCTTAGCCTCATTTTCATGCAGCTCATTATTTATGCGCATATTCATTAATTTTCCCGTATAACTGATTGTGCAGTTTTAACACAACTTATCTTCTTTTTTGTTTCCTTGCTAGATATGTTTTTGTTCAACAATTTCTTCTTATTCCCTCTCTCATTAGAGCAATTTTTGCTTAACTCTTTCTCGAACTTTTCTCGAACGTTTGAACAAATGAGTTCGGGAACATGATCAACAGATCGTCTTATGCCCCCTGTCCAATGACCGGAACAGATTACTTGCTTTGACCAGTTGATATTGTCGTTTTTTAGGACTACAAAATATTTTCTTCTTTTAAAAATCAGGATCACCAGGTAGCGTGTAGTATTTTATCCCCTTTGTGCGCCAGCTATTTTGGCAAACAGCGCTGGCACACGTCCAATGCCAAACCATTTTTCCAATGCCAAACCATCCGCCATCTTGGATTTTTGTCCGGTGTAGTGCCCAGTCTCTAACGGTTTGAAATCCGGCAATGTGTAGCCGTTCTAAACAGCAGCACACTGATTTCTTCTTCATATTGGGTGAATCATGAGTGGACTTTCCTTGTCACTATAAATTGCTTATAACTACATATGCTGCTGTTAATCCCTTCATGCATGGATATGCCAGAACAGCATCTAGAACCTCCGGTTGCTGAGCAACCGGACACCCTTTTCGATACTTGAACAGGGAGGGAGGAGGGGGAGGAGGGGAGGGGGTTGTGAATGGAAAATATCCTTGTCAACTGCCCTTTTGAACAATTAGACTTTCATTTCTGGATAACACAACCTGTCAGAATATTCTCATTATTATACTATGGGATTTGATATAAGTTGCTCTCGAATTAGCTTTTTAGCTTTCATTTATTCCATATACTTCTCACAACAGGTAAATAATCTGTCATACTTCAGAAATCACTATAATCACTATGTCCATTATCAAGAACAATACTGAGTTATTTCTTTTTTTATTGCAGATTGATGCAGACGAGGTGGAAGTCATGGACGTAAGCATTAATTACCAATGAATATTTCTATTGTAAACGCTTTAAATTGAAGAAATATAACTAAATTTCTGCGAATACAACATTTCTTGTCATTTGCTCAGTATAAGGCTAACGAACGGGGGTGGATAATGTACCAAATCACCACTGACGAATATCATATTATTATAGCATGGGATTTGACAAGAACAATACTCATTTCTTCTTCTTATTTCTTTTTTTTGCAGATTGAGGAGGTGGAATTAATGGACGTAAGCATTCACTCCCAATGAATATTTGAATTGAAGACGCAAGCTTTAATTTCTTGAAGAAATATTCCAATATTTGTTAGAAAAAAAAATCTCTTCTCATTTGCTTAGAATAAGGCTAACGTCCCGGGTGGCACAACCATACAGGTAATTCACTTTATTATTCAATGGCATTTGGTGTTGATAAATTGCTCGCTCATTCACTTGTTCGCATTCATTTATTATAGTCTAGTTGGAAGGAGGGGTTTCCATTCGGCCAAAGGATATACTCGTCATTATTACGTCTTTGGAATCTTTGGGAGTAGAATACGAATATTGATGTTCCCAAGTCGAAAAAATTTCCCACGGTGACTTTTAAGGGGATTTTAGTTTTCGCCCGAAAAAGCACAGGGTACCCGGTTCGGAATTTTAGGAAAAATAGCAAAGAACGTGCTCAATGTTTTCAAAAACAATGAAGGTATTAAATTATGTTTTATATTAATACAAAAGTATCTTCTTTTCTTCTAGTTTTATTTATTTTTAATTTTTGGCTTTTTCATAAAAGTCAAAATCACTCCTCAACATAAATGGTCAATATATCCATTGATTGATTGTTAAATATTGCTCTTTGATTAGAAAATTATGCTTTATCTCAAACCCATAAATACCTTGAACCCACAAAAACATATGTATAACAATCAGAAAACATTTTCCACTGAGGGAACTGGTATCTACCCAGCATGCTCTATCATTTTAATCAGTCAGACATGTTGAATCCCACTAGTGAGGTTCACTGTTATGACTGTAAGTAATGGCATAGCATATGGAATATTAACGTATCTGACATGCCTCCCAAGTCTCTAAAGCGAAAGCATGCTATTTCAAGTAATGAAAAAGATGATTCAATAGAAAAAATATGTATTTTACACGTAAGTGGGATCGAAGGAGCTGCCGATAACTTCACATCACTGAATAATGTCAAAGGAGCTGCCAATGACAAACTTTCACAACTCCATGAAATCCGTAGAAAGTGATTAGATCAGCCTAGAGATTCTCCATATCGTTTAGAAGCTGTATGCAATCAAATTCCGGAAAGTCTTGAAGGTTTAGATCTAAGACGAGTGGGATATCACCGTACATGTTATCAACAGTTCACAAAAAACCTGGAATGCTTACAGCATAAAACAGAGGAAAGTCAACCTCTCCCAAACCGTTCAACTCGTACATCGTCTGCATCATCTATAAAGTTTCCTGAGACGTGCATCTTTTGTGATAGAGGTAGAGCGAAAATTACGCAAAAAGGGCATGTGGAATACCGAGAGATTTCTCAATTTGCTGTTTATAAAGATGATAACAAGGTTACTATAGAGCCAACTTGGAAGCAAATTGAACCATGTGCGTTGGAGTTAGAAGATTACAGTCTTCATCGTAAAGTGCATGGTCAGGATTTATTTGCAAGGGAGGCTTGCTATCACCCATCTTGCCGTAAAGCTTTCAATTTGCGATATATCAACCACTTGCGAAATAAGAAGCGATCAGAGAAACAGTCAATGACTGAGAGAGGCGATCAAGAAGAACTCGCTCATACCGAAGCATTTGACAAGGTACTAGACTTTATCCAGGAACATGTTGTGAAGCAGGGAGAAATTGTGCAGCTAGTAACTCTTCGCCGTCTCTACATTCAAGAGCTAGAAAAATGCGGCTACACAAATCCAGAGTATAGGAGTGACTATCTGAAAGCTAGATTGGAAAAGCACGAAGTCAATGAACTGATTTCGTTTGCCAAAGTCGACCCAGGAAACAAAGGCTTCATAACATACACTCTTGTATCCTCCTTGGAGGATGCAGTCACTCATGCGTATTTACTTGGTTCAAGAGACCAATATGAAGACGTAGCTTTGCTTCTTCGCAAGTTGATACAAAAAGCTTTCAAGAATGCTGCAGAACTTCCTTGGCCGTTGACGATCTTGATTTTAATTGCTCAGATGGTAGTCTTCCACCAGAACTTCTGAAATTTCTTAGTTATGTTGTCTCTGGTGATTGCGACATTGATGATTGTGAAAAAACAAAGCGCATTGTATTTTCTATAGCCCAGGAAAACCTCTATATATGCATGTTCTCTATTTACTCTATTAGGCTTATAAAGGATCAAAAATATAATCAATTATACTTATAGTTTTGATGTGCTTTCATATAATTTATCGAAGTTGATTCAGACTGATATATGTTCCTGTCTCCAATCTAGGATATCTGTAGAGGTGTCACAAATGGGCAATGGAAGCTCCCTAAGCATATCCTGCTGTGTACTACCCTTCGCCACTTGTATCGCAGCAAGCAGCTCACAACTATTATAAAAAGACTTTGTCACTGCGAAACCTACAACTTCGGTCTAGAGCTTGAGACCTCTTTAGCAAAGGCACTCGATGAAGTATCCACTTCACTCACCCCAATGATTGTAACAGGCGAAGGCAACGAAGTTCTTCACTTTGAATGGGACAACATGAATAAAATTACCACTAATATTCATGGGTCAAACGTGGTTAATAGCACTGCTGGAATAATGATACAAGAAGTAAATCCTGGTTTTGACAGTGATGTCGAGCGAGCGCTCCCTATATATAACTGAAACAGAAGTCGTGCGTTGAGAGTAGATATCACTGAAACTCTTCCAGAATTCAATATTTACAACAGCGTTGGACCAAAGCTCCCCAAAGAAGCGATCTTTAAGCAGCCTCAAGAAAACGAAGTAGAGTATAAGAAGTCTAAAA